AGTTGTACTACAAAGTCGCCAGTTCTCATCTTCCAGCTCCCCAGCTACTCCGCGTACTAACGTTGTACTACCAAGTCGCCAGTTCTCATCTTCCAACTCGCCAGATACTCCGCGTACTAAAGTTGTACTACAAAGTCGCCAGTTCTCATCTTCCCACTCCCCAGCTACTCCGCGTACTAACGTTGTACTACCAAGTCGCCAGTTCTCATCTTCCAGCTCCCCGGCTACTCCATGTACTAAAGTTGTACTAGAAAGTCGCCAGTTCTCATCTTCCAGCTCGCCAGCTACTCCGCGCACGTAAAGCTGTACTAGAAAGTCGCCAGTTCTCAGCTTCCAGCTCCACAGATTGCTCCGCGTGCTAAAGTTGTACTACAAAGTCGCCAGTTCTCAGCTTCCAGCTCCCCAGCTACTCCGCGTACTACAGTTCTACTACAAAGTCGCCTGCATTTCGCGCCCGACGCGCCCGATCTCCGCAAAGGGTTGCGCGCATACGGACTCAATCGCGCTCTCGCCTGCATTTCGCGCGCTCGACACGCACAGTCTCCGCAGAGGGTTGCGCACGCACCGGGCAAATCGCACTCTCGCCTGCATTTCGCGCACTCGACACGCGCGATCTCCGCAAAAGGTTGCGCGCGCGCAGGACAAAGCGCACTCTCGCCTGCGTTTCGCGCACTCGACACGCGCGATCTCCGCAGAGGGTTGCGCGCACACCGGGCGAATCGCGCTCTCGCCTGCATTTCGCGCACTCGACACGCACGATCTCCGCAGAGGGTTGCATTTTCGGTTGACGCTGTTCGTCCCACCCTCCGCCTTTAAGAGAGAATTTATAAGTGGGGAAATGTTCTTCATTAGGACATCTCCCGTGTTAGTTTTCCATGCTAGTTTTCCATGCGCACTCATCACACTTGCATACTCATTGCATTTGCATGCTTGCACGCTCATCATTAGACTTGCATACTTTGACACTTGCATGCTTCGCACTTGGATGCTTTCGCTCTTCCAGTGTGTGTGTGTGTAAGTGTAAGTGTCGAAGTGTAAGTGTCGAAGTGTCACTGTTCAAGGGGTTTTCCGGAAGAACCCTTTGCAATGCTTTCGGGAAAATGGGTCAAATCGGAGCTTTCAACGTTTGCATCCCCCCAAAGTATTTAAGCTTCCCAAGGAACCAAATCATTTTGTAGTGCGAGGGCTTCTTGAGGGCGGGGGGAGCTTCCTTGAAGAAGTGTGGGCTATCCCTTCATCCATATGTAGAAGCGTCCTACAGTACTTAATAGCTACTATAGCTAATAGCTAATTGCCAGCTACCTCTTCTACCTCTTCCTCTATCCGCGTATTCTTTCGCGGGCTTAAACACAATCATACCTGATGAGAATTTGACCCCATGCTCACCCAAGGCATGAGACGCCTGCCTCCTGCTGTGGCTCAGATTGCACACTTTAATGCGAGTCTCTTCTTTCGGCTTTGTTGTTGCCCGGCTTTCGCGAGGCCCAGATTCTGGTTTGCAAAGTGTGCGCAGTGCTGCTTCGGTCCTTACACCATCATCTTGGGCAAGTGCCTGGGCATTCTTCTTTGGAGGCCATTGCTAGCAGGTTGGAGGATGTTGGAGGCCATCGCTTGTAGGATGGAGTCCATTCCTATTAGGTTGGATTTAAATGGAAACCATGTCGATGCAGCCTCTGTGGGCCATAGGTATGATAGCCATTCCTGCTGTGTCGTTGAACCCGACCTTCCCCCATAAACGGGCAAGACCCAGTGGTTGAACACTAGAATTAACGGGCAATAAACGGTGCCAGAATACTGAACACACATTGCCCATGGCCCATTGCACGGCAATTCTCATCAGGTGCCAATGCCGCCAAAGGGGCCGCTACAAGGTTCCTTCCACGCCCGATCTTGTGAAAAAGACTGGGCGGGATGCTTGCAGCCTTGCATGACCCCTTCCACACTCTTTCAGAGACAATGGAAGACTGGAGCGTGAAACCGAACGCAGCATCTCAAAGTACGCCTCTCAGCCCTAGGTCCATTCCCTCAATTCGGTTTGAGCTGGACACAGTCGATGGAGGCGTGGGCCTTAAGCTAGTGGTAGCTCCTGGCAATGCTACTAGGAACAAGACGCTACTAGTACTGTAACAAAGGGCATCGCTACTAGGAGCAAGGAGGCTACTAGTAGCTCCTAGCATTACTACTGGGAACTGGAATTTTTGCGAAGTTGCAATACGACCTTTCCATTGCTTTTTTGGCAGCAGGCACTTTCAACATCATTCTGGACCCCCAGGACTTTGCGGAGGCAGCAAGTAGTTGTCAGCTAATGTGAGACGGATGTGCCTTTCCGACTGTTGCTTTGGGTCCTCTGCCTGACACAGGTCAAAGGCTCAGATTGTGCCTTTGCTTTTCAGCCGGGTGCCCAGGGTTCCGGTTCTAAAGCCAAGACAGGCTAACACAGGCAACTTATGGCATTTTCAAGCCGAGGCCTGTAGACCTGCCTCCAAACCTGGGCCCGATGTGGGTTTTCGGACAAACAGCACTCAGGCGTGACACGGGCTGGTGGATGGGGTAAAGAATTGAAGATGGCTTTTGCCCGCATACAGCCGATAGAAGCCATTGGGAGGAAGTATTACACCATCTACGACGCAAAGAAGTGGTGGGTGGGCATAGGCCAGAATGTGCCAAGCAACTCTGGGATGGGGGTGGTGAGCATGCACAAAACTACCAAGGCTTGGCAAAGCATACGGTGAGCTCCTGAGTGTCCCACTTGTCATGTCAAGGGCCGGCACTGTGTTGACAACCCAGTAGCCCCTCAGTCACGTGCAATGCTTCTGCCATCAGTCCGAGAGAGAGAGAGTCTCACTCTTCGGCTCTCTTCGCTCTCTCACTGATGGGGGCCAGTCTGAGGCTCAGAAGAGGCAAAGCAGCCTCGTGCAGGATGGAGAGCCGTCGCAAAAAAAAACCGAGCCGGAGGCAAGAGAGGGCCAGTGCCGTCGTTCCGTTTTGTTGCATCAAGGCAGAAAACATACCTGCTCCTCAGGTGTGCGAGGATGACAATAAGAACATGGCCTCAAACCCCAGCATTTTTTTTCTACTGTAAATGTTTGCCCAACTTCAATTCTCAATTTTGTAATCTCACGCATCGAGCGCTGGCTATTTCAAATCTGCTATATACATCAGCTTCACTTCCCAACTTCCAAGTCTTGTCGGCCCAGGTCTGGAACCACTTGCCTGGCTGCAAGTCTTTCGCAAGAGCCCCTGGATGCTTTGGGCGTGGGCTGTGGGTTTGCCAAATTCCTTCGATGGTGAGAGTGTGTTCTTTGGTGCACTTCTTGGGCTTGGGGCACTTCTCTGTCAGTCTTCCTTGAGGTCTCGAAAGGAAAGTATGTCTTGATGCGTCAATGACATTGAACGTATGTGTTTCTATGTGGGCATGTCACATATCCCACGCCAAAATTTGGCTTGATCAGATTGCTGTAAGTGTTGAGGCCTCAATGGGGTACTGCCATCGTTTCTCACCGCTGGCTAGTGGATGTGCTCAGAAGAATGCAAGGTAAGTCGTGGCCACCGTTGGCTGCTTGATTTCGAGGAAAGTATTGCCGCCTTTCCTGCTCGCTTTGTACGGTTGGCAGTGTTTGCCTGGCTCGCTTGCAGAAGGACACCAGTGTAGGCCTTCGCACTTACAGGAGCACCGGCTGATTTGCTCATTGCTAGGCTTCCAACAGCGAGCAGTTGGTGGGAGAAAAGGATCTCCAGGCTTAGTCACTTATAGAACAATGAGCCAAAACCAGTCACAGAATTGCCGGTGCCTCAATTGGATGAGTCAGGAAAGCTCCTCTGCACCCGTAGAGGCGGGACAATTGGATGTCCAGATTCGCCTTCACGCCAATGCTGGCTCCTGAACTTGCTTTGTGCTTTGCAGGTCGCTGGTTCTGGAATGAGCCTCTCCGGGGCTCGCCGAGGCGTCTGCTCCTGAGCAATCTGTTACGAGGAGGTATGCAGTAGAGTTTGCATTGTAGGGCTGTCGGACAGTCCGTCACTTGTGTGAGGTTGTGAAAGTGCGAACGCTCAGCCCAGAAGAGTCTTGCCACTTGCCAAGCAGAACGCTGCAATCCAAGCAGATCTTAGAGTCTTAGACGCCTTGGCAAGTTAAATCCACAGAATTAATTGGCTTGTTCTTCTTAAAGAAACTCGCATCACAAGTCTTACCCTCCCTGCAACAATCATGGAATGGCCTCTGGAAAGGCAATTTTCCATCAAAAAAAAGGAAGCGGCCATGGGTTGTCCATTTCCATGTTTGTTGCAGGGAGGGTAAGTAGTCTTTGGTGTATTCAGTCTATTGTCTTCTTTCAGCAGGGAAAGGACGCTAAGACTAAAAAGCCTAAGCAAAGAAGCCATGGAGCTACTGCTGTGCAGCAAGGAGGCAAAGGGCTCCGGTTCTTCAAGGCAGTTCCTCACGCCTGAGGGCTGGGGCTGGAAGTGTCGCCACTACAAAGGTCTTTAAAACTCACCACCCTCCAACAAACAAGAACTTTGCAGTGGTTTTGGGGTAACAGCCCTACTCGGTTGATTTTGTCCCGGGGGTCCATGTCACCATATGTCACCACATGGTCGGATTGCACTAGCTGCCTTGAATAGCCAATCGCATGACTGATTTTGTTCTTTCATGTTGTTTCAGACTATGCTCTCGACCTAGTAACTAGTAGGTACAAAAGAGAGTAACAAAAAAGGGGTAAGAAGGGCCTCTTTGATGGGGCCCCTTTCAACTTTCAAGGGGCCTTATCAACGAGGCCGCGGCCCTTATTGCTCTCTCCTTTTCCCTTTTGGGCCTTTGCCCTAGGAGCAGCCCCACGCCGAGTGGCAGTGTGATCGGTTACCGACTCACGGGCGACCGCCTTTAGCCATCTCCTCTGGAAAGAAGAGCCGTTGAGTCGTTTAGTCATTTGAAGCCTTGACGTGTTTGCATCGAGACCTGGTGGACCCGGTTTGCTTGGACCAATTCGAGAAAGTTTGATCCTGCCTGCCACGCCTGCTGCAGTTGCTTCACCTCCAATCATCGCGCCATAGCCTTTGCTGTTCCTGTTCTCGTGCTCCTCTCATCGCCTCGCCGCATCACCTCGTTTCATTTTCTGTTTGAGGTTTGCAGGATGTCATCCAGCACTTCTTGGCGTTCAGCGTCTATTCTTGCTTCTTGCATTGCGCCTCACGTCAGACCTTTCGGGCCGAACTGCTCGAATCACCAGCAAGGACGCTACTAGGGGCTCCTGGCCTTACTATATACTAGGAGCAAGAAGCTACTAGGGGCTCCTGGCATGGCTACTAGGAGCAAGGATGCTACTGGGGGCAACCTGTTGGCGCCATTTGGTCGAACCTTTGGCTCAGCTGCGGGCCGCGGGTGCCCACGGCCCCTTGAGCGACTGATGCCCAGCACGGAGGAGACTGGGTGGGCCGGTGATTTCAGGGTACCATAAATACATGGTGGTATAATAATGTGGTATAGCTATACATCCGGTATTTACACGTATACCACCGGTAGAGCCTGCCAGACTCTAAGCGCCTTGGATCCTCAAAGCGCCTTGGGCAAACTTGTTTTGACACTGCAACTGGCTGACCAGGAGTCTGGATCAGCAAACTCCACGTTTCAAGCTCAGCTGCCCACGGCTAGTGCCTAACCCTCACTACGCACAGTCGAGGTCGGCGAAAGCTGGGAAGGCTTCGAAGAAAGCTCGCAGTTGCAGCCTAAGCGCTGCCTGCTGCAATGTGCCCCTAACCGGGCACCTTCGGAATGGACTGCACTACCCTACTCGGACTCATCAAGTCATGCTTCCAAAAGGTGGAACTCATTCTTAATTTACAAAAAAAGGATGCTCCAAAGTCACAGATGCATGGACAAGCTTCCCCTGTCACACAACAGTGCCCAACAGCGCGCCTCAGGCGATGCAGCAGGATCGAAGGACAGTCCCAATATGCCGCGAATGTTTGCAACAACGCTCAGCTGGTGGCCTTCTTTTGCACAATGCGCACCTCCCGTTGCAAGCTTGGCTCAGAAAAGATGCTAGATGTTCCTATGCAGGGTGGAATCTTACTGAGAACCTCGCCACAGCACTGGAGATTCATCCTCACACTAGTAATTGCTTTGGCATGGAATTGAAGCATGCCGTGTATTTCGTGTGCTCTCAGCACAATAACTGGTTGAGTCGGTTGAGTTGCACTCTATATGCCTAAATACATCTGGACACGCTTCACGCCAGAAGGATGACACTTGCCCAACAATAATGCAACCTCAGCGTGTACCATCACACTCCCACAAGCCCTTCACTTGAGGGAGAAGCCATGCGGCTTCCAAAGGTGAAGAACAAGTATCCTGCTCCGGTACAGGTGCTGGGATTGAGTCAGGATGCCAGGATTGGTCAATTGTGTCACCTGCTGGTTTCATCGGAGGTCACCGTTGATGACATTGTCAGAAGTGCTGAAGGCCCAGGGAACGAACTCAGGCTCAGAGGCCTTGCCAAGTTTTCATATGCCCCAGTGACAGGTGGCACAAGAAATGTGGGACCCCGTGCGCTCCCAGCCACAACCTGCAGAGGCATTGCCAGCGCAGTAGGATACCTGACAGAAGCAAGAGATTAGCTTTTCCTTGACAAGAAGATTAAACAAGCCTGCCAACCCGGCCAAACATCATGCTTGCCTGTTTGTGGCTCAAGGGAGACGAACACCCAGGCAGACGCTGCCAAGAACAGCTATCAACGGGGACCGATTTTGCCCAGCGGGTGTATTCCACCATCACAACCATGATCGATTCATATCAATTCCTCCTTCATGATTTATTTATTTCTCGACCAGTCAGCGCATACAATAGGCCGGGCCTATTGCTTATGGGTTGTCGAACACGTGTGTTGAACAAATCATCACAGCCAGCCATAATCACTCGAATCTGTTCTCTCGGCCGCGGCACCAAAAACTCTAATTAAGTATGATCAGCCTCCCAGAGGCTTGCAGTCAAGGATGTGAGGAACAAGTTGCTTTGTGGCTTGAAAAGATGGAAAGGACACCGTCATTTCGATTGCAGCCAGCAGAGCGAAGCCCGTTGCATGCTGCATCAATGCATGGACATGCTGGCTGTGCGGCTTTGCTCCTGCAATGCGGCTCCTTCAAGGTGGATGAGCCTGACCAAACAGGCGCCACTGCCATGGCCTATGCATGTGAAAACGGTCACTTGGATGTGGTCCAGGTACTTTCTTCTTATGGAGCCAGACGCACGCACTTGCGAGACGCTATGGGGGGATACTTTGCCTTCGAAGCTGCAGCTGCACACAGTCACATTGTGCAATGGTTATCTAAGACCAGAGATTGGTGCAGTCCATTGCACCATGCTAGCATACTGCCAGTTTCACGAGTGATTCGGCTACTGCGTGCAGGTGCCCCACTAGATCAGCGAAAGCGAGACCCCACTGGTCGGCTCTGTGTATCACCCTTGGAGCTTGCCAAAATGGAAGGCTCTGAGGCCTCTCGTTTAGTAGTTCTGGCATCCCAGCCTTGGTCGCCTTCAACTCACCATTTCTTCCCGGACACCGCGCGGTGCTTGGCGGGGAACTTGGTTCTTCTGGGGTATCAGCTTTCGCTGAATCGTGGACGTCAGCTCTTTGACATTTGGCGCGCCTGCGTTATGCCAATGGTCATTGATCGACGAGATGCCAGGACACCCCTGAGAGGTTTGCGTAGTGGGGTTGCTGATTCTTCAGCCTCTTAATTCATGCGTCTTATTTTGTGGAAGTTGGTGTTGCAATGACGACGGGGGGCAGTTGGTACTTGGCGATTTATTTTCCAGCTCCAAGACCGTGCCAAGCTGCCAACCCACGGAGATTGGGTGATTTCACCATGCCTGACCTAGTCATGGCGTTTGACAGTGCATAAGATCCTTGTACTCTACGGCAGGTTATTGCACTGTTTTGGTTTTCAGAAGCCGGAGTCACCCTGTAAAAGCCAGCATTGTGTGTGTGGACCTGCATTGCATGCCGTGCTTGCCTGTTCAGTTCCAGAAGCAGAGATATTTCCGATTCGAGTCACGGCCAGGTTACAAAGGTGAACCGCCGGCAGGGACAGAGGTGACAGAGGCGGCCGAGGTGCTTGCTGCAAGGCAGTAAGGTCAATAGGTCTTTGCCCTGGTCAGTGTTTGCTTTGGAGCTTTGAGCTTCCTTTCTTTGTTTGGACGTAGATTTAACTTGGCCTGCAGCTTTTTGGCTTGTCAGCTTTGCCCGGCACCTGAGCCACAAGAGGCAATAGCAGAAACACAAGACTGCTGAAGATCTTGAAGGCTGGGGAACCTTTCCAATTCTGAACTGGCAGGCGGGCCCTGTCACTATTTATGCAAATATCTTGGACCTCTTTGGTTTGCAAGAGTTAAAGCTCGCATACTCATCCTTGAGGACCTTCCAGTTTCATGAGTTGTTCCTAAACTAGTGACAAACACTTTATATTTTGAGCCGCGGCGGTTTTTCCATATGCCAGTGTGGCATGAGCGACCACGCATGCAGGCCAGGATCTCCCATCCAGGTTAATGTGAGGTGCCCCCACTGTTGCTCTACATATCAGGATGCATTTGCCACATCAGGGTTTGTCAGAAGGCGTCCAAGGACGAAATGACGTGCAGTGCTTGTGGATGTTTTTGATAAAACGTGCTGCCAGAGTGCGTCACATCCCAACAAGCTGAGGTGGCGAGACTGGGAGCGGTAGCGAGGCAGGGGCGCAATGATGCCAACAAGCTAGCACTTGGCCGTGAATGTTGGCAACCTTGGCAAGCCCACTTCAGGCGCATGGGAAGGATAGCTTTAGCTGTCCTTGCCCTACATGCCCTGGGCATTGCCTCACACTGCAACCAAGTTGCACAAATCTTTGCGGTGTTGTTTGTGTTGCTTGGAGAGGAATCACTTGCCGCCACTTGAGTCAGGTTTCTCACTTTGTGCTGCTGCATTTTCTCCAATCAGATGGAGAAAGAACTGGCTTAGCCACTTCTAAAGCAGTATAAAAAGTATCCTTTCTGCTTCATTCACGTGTACAAAACTAATGGGGTTTTTCTTCATCAATGCTGAGGCCATGGCCACCTCTTGCGAGCGGTTAGCAGTGTGCAAGAACCGTTGCCCCTGGATGAGGACTGCTGGGGGTTTTGGGGAGTGGTTTGCGACTGCAACGGCAATCTAACACCCCATCTTCTGGCGTCTTTCGTCGGCGCAAGAAAGGAATCCTGAAGCTTCGTGAAAGCTGTGCTTGTTGAAAGCTTCTTTTCTTGGTGCTTAGACTTCACAGGAGACGGTTAGACTTCACAAGTCCTACCATGAAGCTTGGCCACGACATACCGGCCTCGCTATCACCACGTTGGCGCTTTGTTTTAGCTTTCGTTCTTCAGTTGCGATCTTTTATGATGCAATTGGACCAGCTGCCCAATGGAGAAGGCGGTGTCGTTTTTGCGAAAGGAAGCATCTTGCAGACAAACTTTGGTGGTTCAAATCCACTCTGATCCGTTTGTTTTTGTTCTTTTTAAAATTCACTTTTGGCGTGCTCTCTTCTTGTCCACGCGCCGCCACTGAAACATATCGCTTTACATCGCCACAGGGCTCGCGTTGCAAAATGTTTTTAAGCAAAGCTGAGGATAGAACTGTGGACTATACAGCTTCCAGGCTGCACTAGGCTGCGCGCAGATAGGCGGACCACTGAAATGCCGATAGTCAACTAGAATTGCCAGGCATTGTTGCATCTTCAAGTTTGGATAAGGTCCAAAACTACGATTGGGTAAACGCAAAGCCATGGCCCCAGAATGCCCGTTGCCACTGGCTCAGCTTTGATTCCGGCACCTCCCAGGTCCTACAGCACCGATGGCACCATCGCAGAGGAGGTGGGAAATACACTGCGTCCCACTGCAAGTGGTGGACATCATGTTGAATGGTGGTATGGGTTTAGGAACAGGTGCGTATGGCTGTGCCAAACTCACGCTAAGCTGCGATGAGGAGCAGAATGATGTGTGGCGAGTCTCCAAGTCTCGCCTGCAATACTGGCCCCGGCTTTACGAAAGACACATCCATCAGGCCCAGGGGCATGACATTTGGGCTTCAGGACTTACATAGCTCGTTTCCTCTTTCCACTATTTTGTCGCTTCTTGTCCCTATGATGCCAGCTTGCTTCAATGTTTATTTGATGTCCCTACCTACCCATTCTCTTTGTGTGAGCGGTCTCAACCTGAGAGGTGAATTGTAGCTCGCAGCCTCAGAGATTCTGCAGAGCCGAAGATGCCGTGGAGCTGGGTGATCCAATGGAGAATGTGTTCATCATCAACTTGATACTTGGCTGATCTTAGCCGGCTAAGACAAATTGAATCTTGATACACGGCAGCTGATTCCCCGCGATTACCTTTGCAGTGTGCAGCTCCGTAGCGGGGTGCTGCTTGTGACACCGGCAACTCAGCGACTCTGCATGCACTGGAATGCCGAATTCCCAAGGCCAAGGAGACCAGCGAAATTGAAGCATGCGCCTTGAAAGCAGCAGCACATTTTGTGCTTGCTCTCCATTTGTGGAAGAATTTGTGAAGGAATGGGTCTCGACGGATGTCATTATCTTGAATGCTGTTCATTTCAGCTGCCTCATGCATGAAGATAACTTCAACATGTTGTTCTGAGGTTCTTTCGCAACTGCACCAAGCAGGCCTCAATGCTATGATCGTTGATGCAGTTGATGGTGATGCTTTCACCTCCCAGGATCTGGGGTTGCAAGAGCGGGGGGCTCGATAGCTGATGACATCAATCCCAAGTGACGCTAGTGAGCTAGTGCATCAGTTCCACTTCCTTTGTCAATTGCATTCAATGGGTTGGCATGGTATTTCGGTGTATTGGCTTCTTGATGCTTCTTGTGTTGCAACGTATTGCATATTGCTGATTATTTCCCCATAAGCTTGGCGATGTGGATAAGGTGTCATATGTGCTGCCGTCACATGAGCCACCAAAAAGCCCCTGAGATGTTTGCCAGGAGGAAATCGAAGAGTCTCTGGGCTTCACATTTGAGCGTGTGAACAGACATGTTGGCAAGACTTGTTCACCTTGCCCTAAATGAGGTTGGGGGCAAAGACTCTCCCCAACTACTGCGGACACAAGTGTGCTGGATGCAGAGAGGTATCAAACGTATCAAAATCAGTGTGACAAAAACATGACCAGCAAAGTACATATTGAATCTAGGTTTGTGCAGTAGCAATGTGGCGGCCCACCATTCAATTCAATGCAACTCCGCAAGACTAACTGCCAGTTGGAGGCAATCGGCAGTTTTTACACGTAATGAGCTGAAGGCCTATGAGTCCTATGAGGCTTCTACAGGAACCGTGCACATGCACACACATAAGTGTACAATAAATTACAAACACACACACACACATTCCTTTGTTCTCTTTATTATACGCCGTGTGTTTATATACATACCCATAAAAGAAAACTTATATAACACATCGCAGACAATAGATAAAGACATCTACGGATGGACATGTGTGTAACATAAGTGATTACATGCTCCATGCATACATTCATTTATTCACACATACATAGATAAGTGGGACGGCTGCGTTGTAGCCAGACGCTGCCGAGAGAGAGAGAGAGAGGTATTTATGTATTTATTTGTGCATGTATCACCAAGATCAAGTCAGCAGTTGGGCCCAGGAACACCTTGCCGCATCTTACGACTGGTCAACTGGGATGTTTCATGAGCCATTTCACGATTTGGCACTACATGGCTTCTCGACAGGATAGAATGCAGCTGCGGCATATATTTACCATCAGAGAGCTATATGTCAAAATCCCGGTAGATTGTTGTATGGTGAGTGAATACCAAGGTCGAGCAGAACATTCCTTCAGCGTTGATTCTGGAAGATGATTTTGATCTGCCTCATGACTATTAGACTATTTGTCATATGTGCACCCTATTGACGTGCACACTGTAGAATGCAGTGGCGGTAAAGAAGGCTCCAGGCTCGAGTAACATCGTAGGGTCTGAGTGCATGCGACAAGGCAAGAGAATTTCAGAGAACGTCTGGGCAGCTGTTTAGAAGAAGCCTGCGGACACGATTGGAATCTGATGTGACTTTGGCGTGCATTTCAAATCATTTCGATGGCTTGTTGAAGCGGGCAGCGCAGAAAATTAATTTAAGGTATCTCGGCCGAAGCCCAACAGAGGGAGACATCCGGCGCGTCAGTGAACACCTTGCTCAGCCAGGCAAGCTGGCTCTTTTGTTGTCGGCTTCCAATGGCAAGCCAGAGCAAATAGAGTAACTATAAAGTTCTACCCTTGCCTTGCAGGCTACACTTTATGGACTGTGGGGATTCTTGGCTTAATCAGGCTTCATCGAAGAATCCGCGAGGTTGCTTAAGTGCTTGAACAAGCGATCCCGTGCTGACAAGTTACATCAACTTGCAGGGAGTCTAAAAGTCTAGACTCTGGTCTTAAGTCTTTTTGCTGGGTGAGTCGGTTTGCGAGACTTGCGGGAAGCTGAGGTACATATTCAAGCTTGATGCTGCTAAAGCTTTGGTTGATGCAGAGGTGCAGAGGAAGCTGGCACCCTTGGAGTCTAGATCGGATATGTTCTGTGCTGGTTGGTTTTCGTCTGCTTTCTTTATTTTGTTCTCCGCGTGGGTGGTCTGCTGTTTGCCCACCTACAGTTTTTGCCTCCAGCCACCACCTGTATCATTGCTTGCAGCCCTGACACAAGCTTTGCAAGTTCCCTTGCCTCGCGGTCTGCTCACAATGCTAGGCAATTCAGCAGTCAATGCCCAAACTCTGGTTTGGAAATGGCATGCCTGGCATTTCACGACAGGTCTTGCCCCCAACGAGTAACCAAGGACCACTACTTTTCAGTGGCCATGGGCCAGGGCTTCCGGGGCCATTGGAACGAACATGCTGTGGAATGGAGCAAGCAGCTTGTCACGCTCCCCAGGGCTTGAACATTTGCTGCACTGCAATGGCCAAGTACATTGTTACATCGTCATCTACTTATACATTATACATTCCAGTGACTAGTCATGCTTTGCAATCCTCAACTCCCAAGGTACATACCCCAGGTGCTACGTGGGCTTGCGATAACACCGCCTCTTGTAAT